ATAAGAGATGTTCGTCGCCATCCTGGAAGGGATGGGCGAGCCGAACATGAGCCAGACACGATGGCACAGAGGCGCTGATCGTGCTGCATAAGACGTTCGTCGCCACCCTGGAAGGAATGGGCGATCCGAACGTGAGCTGGGTACGATGGCGCTGAGGGGCCGATCGTACTGCATAAGACGGTCGTCGCCATCCTGGAGGGAATGGGCGATCCGAACCGTGAATCAGGACACGATGGCGCTGAGGGGCCGATTGTACTGCATAAGACGGTCGTCGCCATCCTGGAGGGAATGGGCGATCCGAACCGTGAATCAGGACACGATGGCGCTGAGGGGCCGATCGTGATGCATAAGACGTTCGTCGCCACCCTGGAAGGGATGGACGAGCTGAACGTGAGCTGGGTATGATGGCGCTGAGGGGCCGATCGTACTGCATAAGACGGTCGTCGCCATCCTGGAGGGAATGGGCGATCCGAACCGTGAATCAGGACACGATGGCGCTGAAGGGCCGATCGTGATGCATAAGACGTTCGTCGCCACCCTGTAAGGGATGGACGAGCTGAACGTGAGCTGGGTATGATGGCGCTGAGGGGCCGATCGTACTGCATAAGACGGTCGTCGCCATCCTGGAGGGAAATGAGCGATCCGAACCGTGAATCTGGACACGATGGCGCTGAGGGGCCGATCGTGATGCATAAGACGTTCGTCGCCACCCTGGAAGGGATGGACGAGCTGAACGTGAGCTGGGTACGATGGCGCTGAGGGGCCGATCGTAGTGCATAAGACGGTCGTCGCCATCCTGGAGGGAAATGGGCGATCCGAACCGTGAATCTGGACACGATGGCGCTGAGGGGCCGATCGTGATGCATAAGACGTTCGTCGCCACCCTGGAAGGGATGGACGAGCTGAACGTGAGCTGGGTACGATGGCGCTGAGGGGCCGATCGTACTGCATAAGACGGTCGTCGCCATCCTGGAGGGAAATGGGCGATCCGAACCGTGAATCAGGACACGATGGCGCTGAGGGGCCGATCGTGATGCATAAGACGTTCGTCGCCACCCTGGAAGGAATGGGCGATCCGAACCGTGAATCAGGACACGATGGCGCTGAGGGGCCGATCGTGATGCATAAGACGTTCGTCGCCACCCTGGAAGGGATGGACGAGCCGAACGTGAGCTGGGTACGATGGCGCTGAGAGGCCGATCGTACTGCATAAGACGGTCGTCGCCATCCTGGAGGGAAATGGGCGATCCGAACCGTGAATCTGGACACGATGGCGCTGAGGGGCCGATCGTGATGCATAAGACGTTCGTCGCCACCCTGGAAGGGATGGACGAGCCGAACGTGAGCTGGGTACGATGGCGCTGAGGGGCCGATCGTACTGCATAAGACGGTCGTCGCCATCCTGGAGGGAAATGGGCGATCCGAACCGTGAATCAGGACACGATGGCGCTGAGGGGCCGATCGTGATGCATAAGACGTTCGTCGCCACCCTGGAAGGGATGGACGAGCCGAACGTGAGCTGGGTACGATGGCGCTGAGGGGCCGATCGTACTGCATAAGACGGTCGTCGCCATCCTGGAGGGAAATGGGCGATCCGAACCGTGAATCAGGACACGATGGCGCTGAGGGGCCGATCGTGATGCATAAAAATAGTGATGATCATCTCATGGCCCTCGGCCTCTCGCGGCCCTCGGCCGTGCTGGTGATGTGTCAAGTCTCTCTACTGATTGGCTGTGAGAAGCCGATCGTCTGCCAGGACTCCATCCGGGAAGGAATGGTGAGCCTGAAATAAATCCGGGCGATGTCCCTCCTACCTGATCTGGGGAGCTAATCGTCGTTCGTCTACCGTATCCGTGGTCCTATGTACGGACCGCTAAGCGGTGTACACTCGGTACGCAACAAACTCCGGTGGAGAACTGGTCCTGCGTGTCTGACCCATGGGGCTGGTCTTCGTTCGTCTACCGTATCCGTGGTCCTATGTACGGACCGCTAAGCGGTGTACACTCGGCACGCAACAGACTCCGGTAAAGAACTGGTTCTTCGTTCTTCCCAAGTCTCGTGAGTACTGGTCTCCTGGTTTCGCAGGAGACGTTCGTCATCCCAACTATGAGAAGAAACAGGTTTATCCACGTCGGGATTCCCTATTCTTCGTTCGTCCCTGTCGTGGTCCTACTAACCTTCTTACTTCGAAGAAGACGTTCGGTCATCCAACGATCGCAAGGAGGAACAGGTTTATCCACGTCGGGATTCCCTATTCTTCGTTCGTCCCTGTCGTGGTCCTACTAACCTTCTTACTTCGAAGAAGACGTTCGGTCATCCAACGATCGCAAGGAGGAACAGGTTTATCCACGTCGGGATTCCCTATTCTTCGTTCGTCCCTGTCGTGGTCCTACTAATCTTCTTACTTCGAAGAAGACGTTCGGTCATCCAACGATCGCAAGGAGGAACCGGTTTATCCACGTCGGGATTCCCTGCTTCGTCGTCCCATGCTCGTGGCCCTACTAGCCTTCTGCTCTGGCAGAAGGTGTTCGTCGAACCACGGGTCGTGGAAGGAAATGGTTTATCTTGCCGAGGTTCCCTTTGGTACGTCTAGCCCCCCCACGTTCCTACTAGCCTCCGCGTCGGGAGACGTTCGTCATACGCGGCGAAGGAAGATCAGGCATACCTCGTCAAGACTCCCTCTCTCATAGGAGCTTCTCTCTCCCCTTCTCCCCATCTTTTTTTTTTTTTTTGAGGGAGGAAAATACGTTCGTCGGTTTCCAAGAATGACCACAAGTGATGTCACACGTAATGGTGGTGGGATACCAAAATGAAGCGGATGACGAGGCGATGGAAATGCTGGTCGTCATGCGAAGGCGATGGTCACCCTCCTGGAGGGGAGGGGTGAGCCCGATCGCTAACTCAAGAAGGTCGGCATCGGGAGCCGATATATAATGATCATAATGTCGCTGAGCAGTCGGTCCTGATAAGGAGATGACAATAGTGTCCGATCAAGCCGATATATCCAAGCAACGGCTCTCATCCACGCAGCGCGGGGATGAAACCGGTCTTCAAAAGATAAATATGTCGTGCCGGGAGGCCGAACATAACATGATAGTGTCGGCAGTAAGAGGCCGACCTGAAAGAATCAAGCAATGGTCCTCGTCCGCGAGGGGCAGGGACAAGGCCGGTCTTCAAAAGATAAACACGCCGTGCCGAGAGGCCAGTCGTGATATAATAACATCGACAATGAGAGGCCGATCTGAGAAAACAAGCAACGGCCGTCATCCGCGCGGAGCGGGGATGAAACCGGTCTTCAAATATGGAAAGAACGCCGAGCCGGGAGGCCGGTCGTGATATAACGGTGTCGGCAATGAGAGGCCGATATGAGAAAACAAGCAACGGTCCTCATCCGTGCAGTGCGGGGACGAGGCCGGTCTTCAAATAAGATAAACACGCCGTGCCAAGAGGCCGGTCGTGATATAATGATGTCGGCAATGAGAGGCCGATCAAGTGTATCCGTGCAATGGCTCTCATCCGCGCAGCGCGGGGATGATACCGGTCTTCAGGTGATAAACACGCCGTACCGTGAGGTCGGTCGTGATGTAAGGATGGTCCCACGACCCTCGGCCGTAATGGTCTCCTCTAGGCCACCGGCTCCTGGTGTGGAGATGCTCGTATCACGGCTCTCAGCCGTGATGGTTTCCTCTTGGCCCTCGGCCTCTGGATGATGGATGATCGTCTCACGGTTCTTCGCCGTGGCAGTTCCCTCTAGACCCTCGGCCTCTAGGTGTTCTTCCTAGGCCATCGGTCTCTGGGGTGGAGATGCTCGTCCCACGGTTCTCAACCGTGGTGGTCTCCTCTAGGCCCTCGGCCTCTAGGTGGAGATGCTCGTCTCACGGTCCTCAGCCGTGATGGTCTCCTCTTTAGCCGGCCCTGCACGTCTTCAAGACTCGGGCCGAGCGTCTTCTAATCATTTCGCTCCAGCGCGCCGAGTGGCTTCAGCTACGCAATAAGCATGATAACGGGCCGCACGGCCCGACAATAAATATGCACACATAACCATCTGCATGGCCTTCTCTCTAACACCCACGATTACCGGCCTATGGGTCATCGTGACCCTCGGCCCGGCTCATCGTGCGGGGTTAATGGACGTAGCAGCTCGCGGCGGGGCCAATTAGCAGCCCGCCGGACGTCACATAGAAATATTCATCGGTCTGTGAGTTTTCAAACTCAGACCCAAGTTGGTCGCACCGCCCTCGGAAACACGAGGCCGAGCGCTTTGGTGCCCTTGGTGCCCTCGGGGCCCCACAGGCCGCGTCTGGCAAGAGTCACTTCTCGCCTAATGGCGTAGATGATACTGGGGTACGATCGTCGATCGGGCACGTAGTGCCGTGCGGACTAACGTGCAACCCTCAAATTAAAATGCGTCGTTGGGGCATCGCCCTTTTGGAGACGCTCAGACCGCTTAATCAAGCTGATCGAGAGTGGGCCAACAGGCCCACAAGAAATTAAATATCCAATAAAATGTTGGCTGAACCAACCATCACTAGAGCTTCGCTCCACATTATTTAATTCGGGACATTTTTATCCCTAATAAATAATAGTGGCGTAACAGGTAATAGCAGTGATATTTTCCTATCAAGGGCCATTCAGGTATGCTCCGCTTGCTAATTAAAGCCGATTGGGAGCGGGCCGACAGGCCCACAACAACAGTCATTAATTAAAATGACGGTGAAAACTAGTTATCACTAGAGCGTCGTGCGGCATTATTTAATTTCGGGATATTTTATCCCTACTAAATAATGGTGATAAAAACTAGCAATACTAACATTTTAACAATTAACTATTAAATGTACCAAGTTAAAAGTTGGGGCTTATCTCTTGGAGATGAGGTTTCGGCCAGCAGGGCTTTAGGGTCAGACTTTGACCTTGGCCAGAATTGCTCCAAGCTGTACCCGTACGCTATCATTCATCCTTCATACGTGGCTTTCTAAGGACCAAGGCATGTGATTGGCTCGCAGTACTCCGTATCCTTTGGAGAGAGAGCTAGAACATCCTTTCACTGACCAGAAGCCAACCTGCTTGAGCCGGCCACTTACCGACGGCGGTGCGGGCGGTTGCCGCGGTGCAAGGGGTGCGACGGAGGCCGGCCTTGGTGGGGTCCGGCGGAGCTTCAAAATGTATCTTCGCGGAGCTCTAAGCCACCATTAATGGCGGAATCGAATTCATGACCGGCAGACCCCTCTTGTCGCGTCAGGAGATCAGTACGGCCGGTGGAGGCTTGCTCTGCGACTAACCAGGTGGAAGAGTGACTACCGGTTCGTCGCCGGCGATGAACGACGGCGCTGTATCGAAGTTTGGAGAACCCAGCTCTGACCGATGAAAAGCGCTGCTGCGATGGAGTTCTCCTTGGACCGAGATGTTGAGACCTGGGATGCGGCAGCATCTTCATCTGTTGCGGCTGAATTCGCCGGAGGCCCACCGCAGCGGGGATGGTGACGGCGGCTCAGGCGACCTCAGAAAACAGATCTGAAAGAAAAATCCAGATTGTGACTGTCAGAATCCGGAGCTCCTTCGTTTCTTCCTTCTCCAGAATCTTTTTTCCTTGAATTTTTTCTTCTTTTTCACTGGAATTGAGTTCATCCGTATGAATTTTTTGTAGAAACTCAAGAACAGTAAAACACATGAATCTTTTTGGACAGATTCCCACAGACGGCGCCAGTGTTGAGTTTAATCCAACACGATATAGTAAATATATGTATGAACACTCAGTTTTTACGTGGAAACCCGAAAGGGAGAAAACCACGGGACTTTTTAGGCTAATGTCCAAGCCCTCTCTTTCTCATTAGGACTCTCCTCACCATTACATTGTACAAGCTCCCATTAATGGAGTATTTGAGCTATTCTATAGGAAGAGGGAAGAAGGAAGGGATCCCTAATATGGAGGGAAACTCCCATATTTATAGGGAATAGGGGAAGGGGATGCTCTCCACCCTAATGGGCCGCATGGGCCGGAGTGGGCCCAATGGCTAAAGTGGGCCGGATGGGCCGAAATGGGCCTAGCTGCTCGGGCTCCGTACTACGTAAAGCCTTGGACTCCTGAACAGTAATAGGCCGGGATAATATATCCCAACAGTGAGTCATGACTCATGAGAAGTTTTCTTAATATTACATAGTAGTATACTAATATGTATGAGATTGTTATTTTTAGAATAATATGCACCACACACACACACACACATATATGGTGCATATTATATTTTAATATTTTTATTAATTCTATAATAATTTAGAGTTTATTATCCATGCAATAAATTATTTTTAGAAAGCAAGAAGTAAATGAATTATGTAATCTAATGTCTATAAATATTTATATTTTGGATTCATTTCACGTGATCTAAAAATTGTGTAATTAGTGTGTCTGGTATTTAATATTGTTTGAAATATGTTTTACGAAATCCAGTACTTGTTATCTAATAAAGATAATTAAACATTACAAAACTAGGAATTCTTATATAATAAGTATCCTAAATCTTAAATAACGAGTTACTCTATTGTTTATTTGTTTAAGTTATGTAAATTATTTTAGATGTTTCTTTTTTTAAATCTCCAATTAAGTATTATATTATGTATTACATATATGGTAAAAAAAATTGAATGTCCAAGGGGGCCGCCCCCCGCGCCCCCCCTAAATTCATCCCTGCTCTTTGTCTATGTTCGAATAGTCGATTACTATTTATGCTAATGGTTTATTAGATCATCTCGTTGAGTCTAAGCCAAAAAAAAAAAAACTGCCTCGTTGAAAAAACTAAGGAATAGTTTGATCATTTACACATTAAAACTTCACATACAAAATGATTTCATGCAAAATTTAATGGATTTTTTCAAAAATATTACTTCAATATAAATTATTTATACAAATATGATTAATAATTACTACAACGTAGTGTCATGATAACTTCAGCTAAAACGTTGAACAGAAGTTATTAGGATTCCATTACTACTCTAGTCACTAGTCACATTTTTGTAAACAATCTTCATTTTGATCATATATATGTAATTATTTCAGATTTAATTGGATGACTAAAATTTTCTAATTTAGTCTGTTTAAGTCTGATTTGAACCGATATAATCGACATCTGGTCAATATGTATTTTATAATTGTAATTTTGTTTTGGTATGATCTGATCTGTTTAAATCTTGTTTGATTTGATTTGGTATGCTCTTGAAATAAGTTCAAGTAAAGCATTCTAAGAATTCATCTGTGCTAGATGTCTGATGCATTTGAGATTTATCATTAATAAAGTCAATTGTAGGAAAATATCCTTAATCATGATTTGCCTTAAATCTGATTTGGTCCTTTCAAAATACGTAGTATATCTCATAGTTACGTACTTACGTTCCATCCTCTTACTGTCCTCTATCAACTCATCGCTAGCTTTCGGTGCCTAACCTATGCCTTAAATCATTTCCTAGTTTTATGTACATCTTATTCTCCACTCTTCAGGAACTAAAGGAAAAAATAGATATTTTTCTTGTAACTCCTACTTACTGGCAAGTGATTAGTGTCGTGCATAGTGGATTCATAACCCACCGCCTTAATCTACTTGGCTAAACCCGCCCCTACAAAACTATTTTTTTTTTCAAAAAGGAAACAATAAAATGGGTATTCAAGAATTGAGGAGCAATAAATTATGTGATATATAATGACATCAACGCTCAGAGATTCTTGGTAGAAGTATGATCCATTTGATTTATTCTTCTCTTCTGGTCGTATTGATTTTGTTCTATGGCAGTTCTTTCCTGCGCACTGGTGTTCCAGAGTGATTTATCTCTCTCTATGTGGGAGTTCTTTGTTGTACCAGCTAGCTTCGTTTGGTCATGGATCTCTGACTGCCTTCTTTTACAGTGTGAAGAAATTTATGAAAATACTTTATTTCAGTTTTACTTTTCCATTAGTACTACTTGTTTCTATTTTAGTTTGACTAGGTTTGTTTTGAAATTTTGAATTTCTAGAGTACGTTGATTGACAATACTTCTATTCCGATCGTTTCGTGTCTAGCAATCTGTTCCTTTGTATGAGGTGACTGATTCTATGTCTATTTTCAAGGCTTACAATTGAATGGGTCATAACAGTCTAGATGTTATGTTGTATTTTGTCTCATTTTTAATACAAAAGCCAGTCTTTTATACTCCCTCCGTCCCCGAAAAAAGTTTTCCATTTGACTTTCACACACTTTTATGCATGTAGACTTATCAGGGGGTAAATTTTACTGTTTTGACACTGTTTCGACACTGTTTGGCACTGTTTGACACTATTTTGCATTGTTTGGAACTGGATTGATGTAGATAACTTTCCATTTAAAGAAATGAGAACTTAAATTAGGAACATCCAAATAAGAAAAATGGAAACTTCTTTCCGAGTATTCAAAACAAGAATCGGGGAGCAATTATCAAGGGTATATGCAAGAGGGTTGACTGGCTTGTGTGGAGTTCAATATAATGCATTAGTTTAAGATGGTATTATTAGGTAGCCTGACTGCCTGGAGTTCTATTTTGTTCACCCCCTTCATGGAGGGTGAACATCACCCCCTCCCTCCAACACATGACACTTGGCAAAACTTTTAAATTTTGCAATTGTAATGCCAAGTGTCATGTGTTGGAAGGAGGGGATGATATTCACCCTCTATGAAGGAGTGAACAAAATAGAACTCGACTGCCTGACCGATGACAATACCTATAGTCTATACACTCCCGCCAAATATATACAAACATAATAATGATTGTTTATACTGATTTTTTTCATAAATAAAATAAAAGTAAAAAGTGTTTATTTGGTTTCAAAGGGCACTAAATGGTGATGCACGATCAACGTCTTATACAAGTCCACGAAATCATAACAGCAATAAGGCTAGCTTTCCCACTGCCCACATGCTCTACTATACTATCCACTTTCATTAGCGTGGCTATGTTATACTCCCTCCGTCCCAAAAACAATTTCATAGTTTGACAATCACACAGATTAAAAAAACAAATTTGACTTTACTGTTGGGTGTACTATTTTGCACTGTTCAAACACTGTTTGACACTGTTTGAACACTATTTGGCACTGTTTGACACTGTTTTGATGTAGATAATTTGCCAAATAAGAAAAGTATTGAAGTGTGAAGTTAATTTAGGGACATCCATTTAAGAAAAGTGAAAACTTGTTTTTGAGACGGAGGGAGTATATATTTTGAGTTTTCACGGACAACTCAAGGGGTGTTTGGATCTGATTCTTAAAACTGCTTCTGCTCCTTCAAGGAGCAGAAGCAGAAGCTGGAGTGTTTGGATGAAAGTGTAGAAGTGATTCTGGTACTCAAATTTACTCCTAGAATCAGTTTTTTTAGAAGCTGGGGTGACCAGCTTCTGAAAACTGATTCTGATCCTGCTTCTGCTTTAAAAAAGAAGCAGAAGCAGAATCAGTTCCAAACACCCCTCAATTGGTTGTGAGAATTACTTCCCCAGATCGCAGAAGTGATGTGCCACCAGTTTTTGATTTATTGAACTGATTTCAGTTGTTTTACATGGTCGATATAATACTCCACGTAATTGATGATAACCGTTTTTAATTTGTACGTTATTTAGACGAGTTATTTCCCGAGTAGGGGTACTTTCTAAACTTATTTCCCAAAATAGGGTATTTCTAAACTTATTTTCTGAATAGGGGTACTTTTTCCTTGTCAGCGTGCCACGTCATCATTCATGTCAAACCCGCCACATCCACAAGTCCATGTAATCCTATGTATCACTTAGGAATAACAAAAAGTGGAGGCCGAGGGGATTCGAACCCATAATCACTCATTGAAATTGCTAGCTCTCCACCACCAGACCACACTAATTTCTTGTCCAAATCTTGTATTTACATATAGAGATATTACCCAAAATAGGACTAAAATAGTTCGAAAATTCCAAAATAAGACTTCCATGCTTTTATTCCCGAAATAGGACTAATTACTGTCATGTTTTGGCAGTACCAGACTTTCAACATGGCAGTATTTTCCAAGTTTGGCAGTAATTAGTCCTATTTTGGGAATAAAAACATGACAGTCCTATTTTGGAATTTTCAAACTTTTTTAGTCCCATTTCGGGAACTTTCCCAAATATACTTCTATTCATATTGTTTCAGACTTGTTGAATTATTATAATATTGTTATTATAATTGGAGATACTATAATTATTACAGTTGTTATCATTACTATTATTATTTTAGTTACTATTACTATTATTATTTTAGTTACTATTATTATTATTATTTCACTATTATTATTATTATTTTTATTATTATTATTTTGTTACTACTGTTGTTATTGTTATTATTGTTATTATTATTATTATTATTATTATTATTATTACTCCATCCGTATTTAAAAGTTCCCAGACTTTCCTTTTTGACTGTTTTTGAAAGTTTCATACACTTCGTAAGTTTTTCCATTATAAAATATTCAACTATCTTAATTTATCTATTTTTTATCTTCTCTTTCATATTTTTACACTCTCTCTCCATATTCAACTATCTTATTATAATCATTATTGTTGTTGTTATTATTATTATTATTATTATCATTAGTAACAACAAGAATTGAAATAGTAACAATAATAATAATATTATTAATAATAATAATAATAATAATAATAATAATAATTGTAATAATAATCATAATAAAAATCATAATAGTCACAACAAAAATTATAGTAATAACAACAACAGTAATAAAAATTATAGTATCTACAATAATAATAATAATAATAATGATAATAATAATAATAATAATAATAGAAATAATTATAATAATTAAACAAGCCCAGCTTAATATGAATACAACTATGTCCAAATACGTTATTGTAACAAGTGGCTCTGATGGTCTAGTGGTTGATTCAAAATTTCAATTGCATGTGTGTGGGTTCGAATCCCCTTGGCCTCAGTTTTTTTTGTTATTTTTAAATGATACATTGGATGACATGGACCTTTGATGTGACAGGTAAATGATGTAGAAGTGGCATTTGACTTGAATGATGACATGGCACGCTGACAAGGAAAAAGTACCCCTATTCGGGAAATAAGTTTAGAAGTACCCTATTTTGGGAAATAAGTTTAGAAAGTACCCCTGTCTCGGAAATAACTCTTATTTAGACAGTCGCTAAAGGTAATTTGATTATATTTACAAAATTTAGTTTAATAAATGCGTAATATACTCCGTATAACATAATGAATTCATTAATAAAAATTGTGTTATTATAGATGCATTATTTTTCCTTAAAAAACCGGTGTATTATTTTTAAAATTTAATAATTAGTTTATTGTCATTTAAAAATGTTAATAATTTTCTAAAATTGACGCTGCCAAAGAGAGTATATCCCTCTCCGGCGGGATTAGATTAAAGGTTTCTTTGAAAACTTGCAGCATGAGGAACTTTTTCATTTTATATGCTCTTTATGGAGCATTTGAAAGGTAAGGAATGAAAAGGTATGGAAAAATAAGGAAGTTCGATGACGCCAGATTGCGGAAATTGGGGCAGCTATGCTTCAGAATTAGAGAGCGGTCAGGACCTCCAAAGGGGCGAGCGACAGGAGTGTTAGTGACACCAAGTGGCAACGACCTGGGGAAGGACAAGTAAAAATTAATGTTGATGCGGCTCTTGATATAAACAATCGTACTCGAGTATGGGCATGGGTAGCCAGAGACGGCACGGGGCAGTTCATTTCAGCTGGTTGTCAAAAAATTCATGCAGGCTAGAAGACTTAGGTGACGTAGGCTATAGGTGTCAGGGAGGTCAGGAGGTGCTAACTTGGGCCAAAACACAACAATGGTCATATGTGTTAGTCGAAACGGATTTCTTGATGGTATCATCTGGAATTACGAGTAGAGGGAGAGTCTTATTTTGACACTATTCTTGATTATATGAGACACATTATTCAACAAGAAGCTGAGATAGAAGTCATCTATTGTAGAAGATCCGCGAACAGTGTGACTCATGTTCTAGCAAGGGCTACACTTTCTATGACGGATAGACGAATAGTTATTTGTATTTTTTTGTTCCTCTGATTGCATTGTACTCCATTTGGAGAATGATTTATTCAGGGGCGGAGCTAGAGGGGTGGCCGACCGGGCCACGGTCCGCCCCAAATTTGAAATTCTTTGTATTTTTAGTCTAAAAATTTATGTGAAAAAAATTATCTGAAAAATTCTTTGTACCGGCCAAGCCCAACCTTCAATCCTAGCTACGCCCCTGGATTTATTGCAGTACATTATGATCAGTTTCCAGCCAAAAACATGTGAAGTAAAATAGGGAAGCTTTAAAAACTTGAATGAAAACTTTGTCAATCTTTCCTTTTTGAGACGTTCCAAAAACTTTGTCACTTTCTCTTTTAATCAATTATTTCTCTCTCCTCTGCACATACCTTAACCACACAATATTTACTTTATTATTTCTCGTACCGGTCAAATTTGGCAAAATTTTAAGAGACAAACATAATAACTTATAAATGAAGACTATGGTTATGTTTGGCAATTGGCACACAAAAGGCTCTAGCTTCTAGCTTCTCTATTCTTTAAAAAGACCTTAAAAGACTTTAGTTGTAACTTGTATGTTTGGCATGACATTTTTTAAGAGCCTTCCAAAAATTAAAAGATCTTTTTTTAAATGCTACCGGGTGTAGCATCTGAGAAAAGCTCGTGACTTTAGTATTAATTAGTCCTAACAGCTTGTATACCAAACCGAACTAAATCAAACAGTCAGTTTTTTACCAAACAGCTATCACCTTTTCTTTTTAAGATCTTTTCAGTCACTAAAAGCTATGTAGTACTATTTACCTTGTCAAATAAAAAGCTAACATTTACTAAAAAACTCGTAATATTATCATTTTAGCTACTTGTGCCAATTTATAGTCTGTACTTTTTACGAAACATTATAAGGCTTTTGAAAAAAAAAAAGATGACACCCCATCCCTGAGGGCCCCCCAACACCGACCAGACGGCACGATGGGAGGATGTAAATTGGACTATAATCACAATATGATAGATAGAGAGTGGAGCTCCGTCCCCGATACTTGCAGAGGCCCTATGCAATTTTCAGCATAGTAATCCCTCATCGCAGTTGCCGGGATTTGAAATCGAGACCTAACCCTTGTGGCACTCCCTCGCTACCAGTTGAGCTACGCCCACCGGTATAAGGCTTTTGAAAGGAAGTAGAGGTGGGGGTAAGCTTCATGATTGCTCATGAGATTCACTGAATGAGTTGGACATTGATAATGGAATTATTGTAGATATTCTACACGGCAAAACTATGACAAAAAGAAAAAGGCAAGAACAGAAGAAAAGTTTATCAAACTGGTGATGATGATTATTACTTCATGTCCATATATCAAGCTAACATTGGCCGCTGTGTTTAGGAATTTGACATTTGTTCATATCGTTGAGCACTTGACTGACATGAGCAACCTATATCCTTCGTATATGAATTCAACCCGCCACCTGCTCCGCACTAATTCGCACTTTTTAGTCTTGAGATAGGACACTGATGATACTACGACTTTTTAAAGGACACCTCAACAAAACCAAGGCCCTACGAAGAGGAAAATATGGAAATGGGTCTTTTTTGGGATTTTAAGGAGCCTTTACCCCTATTTTCACTTTATTAGTTGTATCAAATACCATCTTTATTTTGCTGAATTGTGTATTAAATCAAATAAGTGAGGTTGATGTCGCTTATTTGGCTGAATTGGTTGAAACAATTCTCTGGAAGACTAAGGAATTATAAATACTTACTGTTCTCATTTTCACACACTTCAACTATCTAAATACAAAGTACATAGTATCTATTTGTAGGATTCTTCCACCTTCTTTCTTGGAAGTTGCCAAGAGGCATCTCACACCTTCTTGGAAGGAGGTCTCCAACATATGAACATGGTGAAGATATGGAGATAACTATGGAAGCTTGGATGCAACTTCCTCTTGTCTCCAAACCAGCCTATAAATAGAGTGTTCTATTGTTGTTCATATCATCAGTTTAGAAAGTGAGAAAAGTGTGTGAAGAGTTAAATACACTTAGAGTAGAAGTGTATTGGTGAGGATTGGTTTTTTGTAATAGTTGAGTGTGAGAGTTTGCTCCTCCTATTGTAATTCTGTTCTTGATATTGAATGGAAGAATTTTCCAATCCCAACAAGTGGTATCAGAGCGAGGTTGAGTTTTCATACACTGTTTTCTCATTTTCAGATAAATTTCTACAGGTTAGAAAATCGTGATTTTTCAAGTTGCTCGGAATCACGATCTGATCATACCGTTAGATTCGTCTCGTCGAGACGAGAAATCTGGTATTTTTGGGGAATTTTTTGGCCACCGGAAGAGGCCGTACGCGCCGCCCAAACGCGCCGGAAAACTGCCTGCGTCATCATTGCGTCATCACGCAGTCCAGAGGAAGAAGACGAGCCGTGCAAGCCATCCTCTGGGTGCCGCGTCAGCGCCACGTCAGTGACACGTGGCGCCACGTCAGCGCCAGCGCAGAGCCAGCTGTTGCCACGTCATCCGCCTGCTGGTCTACTTACTGGGCTGCTGCCTGAACCGGACCGAACCGGTTCGTACTTGTGGAGGCCGGTTCACCCATTTTCAGACCGGTTTTGGACGAGGTCAGACCGGTTCCTACCATTTTCGGCCATTCTGGATCAAACAGTGAGCTCCGTTTGTCCAAATTCGGCTCCGAAAATAAGGTACGAGATATTTTGAGCGTTTTATTATGGATAAATCATCATCGGACACCATGATTGCGCTCACTTCCACAAATTATAATATGTGGAAGCCTCGGATGGAGGATTTGCTAAATTTGAGGGATTTAGCTGATCCTCTTGATAATAATGGCGTGAAACCGGATAAAAAGACAGATGAAGAATGGACAAAAATGAATAGAAAAACTGTCGCACAAATTCGGCAGTGGATCGATCATAGTGTGTTCCACCATGTTGCGCAAGAACAAAGTGCTTACACACTATGGGAGAAGCTTGGTAGCATGTACCAAGCAAAAACCGCCTGAAATAAGACATTACTAATGAGGAGATTAGTAAACCACAAGTTACGAGGAGGTATTTCGGTGTCAGAACACACCAGTCAATTCCAGGATCTTGTGAATCAGTTGAGCACCACCGGCTGGGTTCTCAAAGATGAAGAGCAGGCGATACTACTCTTGAGCTCTCTACCTGACAGCTGGGAGACTCTTGTTGTCACTCTCAGCAATTCTGCTCCCAATGGAAAAGTGACTATGCAGATGGTCACAGATGCCCTTATGAACGAAGAAGCCCGAAGAAAAGAAGCCGGGACTGAACAATCATATGCCTTCGTGTCAGAAATCAGCAGACGAGGGGGAGGCAGAAATGGAGGAAGAAGTCGAGGTCGAGGTAGAGGCCAAGGTCAAAACAGAGAAAATTCTCAAGTTCGCGGCCGATCACAAGAACGAGGTATGTCCTGTGAAAACAATACTTGGTTTGAAGGATATTGCAACTACTGTGGTAATTATGGGCATAGAAAAAGAGATTGTAGAAAGTTTCTACGAGAGCAGCCACAGACGAGTCAAAATACTAGCCAAGAAGACGGTGAGACCATGGTTAGTTTGTCATCAGACGTATGTCTTGTTACACATGGTGAACAAGAATGTTTACACGTAGGTACTCATGATGTTGAGTGGGTGATTGATACAGCCGCATCATTTCACGCCACTCCACACCAGAACTTATTCACATCTTATAAGTCAGGAGACTTTGGAGCTGTGAAGATGGGAAACACGAGTTTCTCGAAGATTGTTGGCATTGGTGATGTGCACATAACAACCAATGTCGGATGCGCACTTGTGTTGAAAGATGTTCGACATGTTCCGGATCTTAGATTGAATCTTATCTCCGGTACAGCTCTGGATCAGCAAGGATATCTTAACCGATTCAAAGAAGGTACGTGGAAGTTATCTAAAGGTTCCTTGGTTGTTGCAAGAGGCCATATTTGTGGTACTCTTTATAAAACTCATGCAAAGTTGTGTCATCCAAGTCTTAATGTTGTTGAAGAAGAGATATCACCAAACTTGTGGCACCGGAGGCTAGGCCACTTGAGCGTGAAGGGATTGACAACTCTTGCAAAGAAGGAAGTCATTTCCATGGGCAAGGGTATTGCCCTAGATCCATGCGAACATTGTCTATTCGGGAAACAACACAAGGTTTCCTTCAGTTCTACCAGGAAGAACCATTCAGAGTTACTCAGTCTTGTACACTCTGATGTATGCGGACCCATTGAAGAGGAGTCACTTGGAGGAAACAGATATTTCGTGACATTCATTGATGATGCATCACGAAAGGTATGGGCTTATTGTTTGAAGAGTAAGGACCAAGTGTTTGATCGCTACAAATTATTTCATGCCATGGTAGAAAGAGAAACAGGGAAGAAGCTGAAGTGTCTACGTTCAGACAATGGAGGAGAGTACACTTCCCGAGAGTTCTCAGCATATTGCGCCGCATATGGAATCAGACATGAGAAGACGGTTCCACGAACTCCGCAACACAATGGTGTAGCCGAAAGAATGAATCGGACCATTATGGAGAAAGTTCGTTGCATGCTGAGTATGGCTAAACTACCTAAGCCATTCTGGGGTGAAGCTGTGCTGACAGCTTGTTATCTTATAAACAGGTCACCTTCTGTTCCTTTAAACTTTGAAGTGCCAGAAAAGAAATGGTCAAGAAGAGATGTTTCTTACTCTCACTTGAAAGTGTTCGGGTGCAAGGCATTTGCACATGTGTCCAAGGAGTTGAGACAGAAGCTTGATCTCAAGTCAAACCCATGCATCTTCATCGGGTATGGTGATGAAGAATTCGGATACCGGTTGTGGGATCCCGAATTGAAGAAAGTTGTACGAAGCAGAGATGTTGTATTTCATGAAAACGAGTTTCATGGGTGTGTTCCAATAATCCGCCAACAACATACTCCAGAAGACGAAGTGTCTGTATCATCAAACATTCCTCTCAGCGACGAGGAGATGCATGATACTACTGAACAAGAGAGTGATGGTTCAGTAGGTGATGATGATACTCACAGTGATGATATTCCTCAGCAGGGGGAGCCTTCATCTGAAGACGAAGCTGAAGGTACTCATGTTCGACGTTCTATGCGAGGCATAGTTCCACAGAGAAAGTATTCCACATCCGAATGGATACTTGTTGCCAGCGAGGGGGAGCCAACGAGCATCGCAGGAACGAGAAAAATAAAGAAAAAGGTGGAGGGGGAGATTTGTAGGATTCTTCCACCTTCTTTCTTGGAAGTTGCCAAGAGGCATCTCACACCTTCTTGGAAGGAGGTCTCCAACATATGAACATGGTGAAGATATGGAGATAACTATGGAAGCTTGGATGCAATTTTCTCTTGTCTCCAAACCAGCCTATAAATAGAGTGTTCTATTGTTGTTCATATCATCAGTTTAGAAAGTGAGAAAAGTGTGTGAAGAGTTAAATACACTTAGAGTAGAAGTGTATTGGTGAGGATTGGTTTTTTGTAATAGTTGAGTGTGAGAGTTTGCTCCTCCTATTGTAATTCTGTTCTTGATATTGAATAGAAGAATTTTCCAATCCCAACACTATTTTCCTCTAAAAAAAACCTAATTCTACACTACTACTCTCATATATGTGTCTTTTATTTTTATCTCAGAGTCTCTCATCTTTAATATTATGACTATTTTCATCTAACTTTTTCTTTATTATATTGATAATTTTTTTTAAATATTATATTTTAATAATTTAACAGAATCGTCTAATTAAATTAATTCATCTAGCACTTCATCAATTTCACCAGATTAAATTGATTCAACAACTCCATTATTACTAAATGAGCTCTAAATATTATACTACTCTTCTAATTAATGTTGACTAAATATTAAGAGCCCATTTAATAACACTAAAATCGGTTGAATCAGCTGATACTGTTGAAATTTGTGAAGTTCTGGCTCAAGTGGTTGTATTGGCTGATTCTGCTGATTTATGGAAAAAAATTAAAATATAGTTTATTTGTACTATAAAGAAAACCTATATGAAAAATAGATAAAATGGTAATCTATAGTAACTTCAGCCAGCAGAGCAAAAAATTACGTGTTGATTAAAAAGTTGGTTGATAAGTCTGATAAACTTAGTGATCTTACCAGAATCCAAATAATGAATATAAAATTTATTACGTAACACTTATTATGATATAAATTCATATATGATCTAACAACAAAAAACCAAATGTTTAATCATGAATTAAAAAATAAAACACAATTGCAGGTAGTAAAATATTTTTATTAAATTCTAAAATAAAAAGTCATGAAGTATGATATGAAAAAGCTTATACACATAAATGAGTAAGTGACAAAATAAATCCGAGTGTAAAATTAATACACACATATTGGAATGTAAAATCAACAATATTTTTTTATTTATGTGCCAACCAAATAATGAATGTAAAATATAATATTTCAACAACACTACGCCATTATTTAGATTTGGTAATCTATTAGCTATACTTTTACATACGTATATATATTTTCAGCAAGAGATCAGATCTATTAATATAAGGAGTGTGTCTTTTAAAGTTTTAAACCCACGTTGTTAATGACCTTAATATCTTTTGGGATTAAGGTTGGATATGATTGTTGTTGTGAAGAGTACTGAAGTGGAATTTTTTAAGGACTCGTTTGGTAGTTTACACGTTAAATCTTAGCCTGGGAAAAAATTGGATGCAGAGCTTAGAGAAGCAATCACTTTAATTGTGAAATAGACTATATTGTTTGACTAGATGTGAAACTTATTTTAAATTTGCACGCAAATATAATGTACTTTATAAAAAGCATACAAAGTTTTTGTACCACCCCCAACGTAAAATATTGTACATGATATAGTCGATTTTTTTTAAAAAGTGTCATACAGTTTACATTAAATAATTAAATCAAACGGTGTAAACATTTTACATCCATCCACTTTACATGCGAAATAATTATTTTACATTCTACCAAAGACGCTCTAAAAGTTTTCAAATTTCAATTTGATAGTTTTCGCTAACTACTTTCTAAAACTTTATTTAAGTTAACAAAGGTTAATGTGGATGGTGCTGTTAACGAAAGTGGGGGAATAAGAGCCTAGGGTTGGGTGGTTCATGATGACAATGGCGGTTTTATAAAAGCAGGCGGGTCTTCGGTCTCGGCCTCGTGGTCTGTGGCGGAAACGGAGGCAGTAGGTATCTGGGATGCGATGATGATGGCAACAGCAGAAGGATGGGATAGAGTGGTTTTCGAGTCGGATGCGCAAATGATGGTTAATTTTGTTGATGATATTAAGCATATTTTAGAAACAAAGAGTAATTTTGTTGTCTCTTTTTGTAAACGGTCTGCCGACCGTGTTGCTCGTGCTTTGACAAGAGCACAAGTAGTGATCTCAAATCAGAAGGTCATTTATGATGTTGCACTTCGATTGTAAGCCAATTGACTAACGATTTAGTTGATTAAGAGAATGGTTGGTTTTGATTATCACAAATAGTTAACACAATTGTATAGATGCGTTCAAAGCGTAGACAATCATTTTTCTTTGTAAAAACTGATGAAAGTTGTCAGTCGCATCAAAGAATCTCTTAATTTAATTTGATCGTATTTAATTTGATAATCGTAATAATTGGGAAAAGACCTGACGATTATTAGTGAGTTATTGCGAAGATAAGAAAAAGGAATGATGGATGAAAATACAGCTGGTTTCCATTACAGAGTGTGGAAAAATACAAGAAGTTTCAACGCTGGTCCACGTGAGCCAACCCACTAGCCGACAATTCTGCGCGCGTATTTGCCGGTCCTTTCCCCACAACTCCCCTTATCCCACCACCACGCCCGTGGCGGGTTCGTCCCCGAGTTTTTAAAAACATGTACACGTATTTTTCTCCCTTCAGTACCTAATTAATGATGGACAAACAGCACTAACCTCGTCCTAAAAAGCTATAAAACCCTTTCATATTCGGCCTGAAATTGGTGGAATTTTAATTCACTTGTCAAATTGACTAAATCTATTGAGTTATAGTCTTATAGAAAAGATTGCATCAAATTATAGAGTGTATTATGCAGCTTTTTTTGAATATCTTCCAACTAGTGTTTTACATGTTGATCAAAAAGTAATAACCTGATAGAAAATTGCGAAGACCAGAGGCGGATCCAGGATTTCATGTTGGGCTGGGCTGAAACACTTAAATAATAATACATTGAAAATTTTCAATATAAACAAAAATTCAAATATAAGAGTTCTCCATTAAATTTGTTCTCAACGAGGCTTTGAAACAAAAAGAACCCATCAACAATAGAGTCTATATCTATACTAAGAGTGATGTCTTTTTCAGTATAAAGTTATCATCCATTTTGTTGAGGAGTGCTGCCTTTAGAAGTTTCATGGCATAAAACGAGCATTCTAATTTTGCAAAAGAACAGTAAGTTCAATAAAAGGAAAATCAATCTACTCATCATAACATATGAATCAGATTTTCTGCTCTTAGTCAACTCCTCACATAATTCAACAAATGTAGATACTAAAACTTTGTACATGAATACATCATGAACATAGTGTTGCAACTCAAATTCCAAAGCACGAATGTCCTGAGTACTAAAATTTTAATTTCGGGATAGAAATTCCTTGCAAGAGTACAAATAACATCGACAGACATTGGATGACCCATATAAATTTTTGGGATCCAATGAAGCACTCAAAGAAAGGAGTTTTAATGATTTATCATTAAATCGGGTCCTTAACTCCATCAATACAAAGTCTATTGCCTCATTGAAAACACCAAAGTGATAATGATGTTCAACTGTAGTTTCTTTCTGCAATGACCAACCGTATATTCAAAATTCAACTTCAGTACATGAATTTCATGTTTTGAGCAAAACTCCTTTACTTCTTCAAGAAAGCCTTCCCATCCGTTTTTTGTCAATTCCCCTAGAATGATCGGTTGTGTAATGGAAAAATGTCTCTCATGGCTAACAAGATATAAATTTTTTCGAAGGCCTTGACAGAATTCATTATTTCCATAACTTTGTGCATCAAAAGTAAAGGATCACAAATTCAAAACACGAAAAGTGTTTATAACTTTATATACACTACGAACTTATGCCCGAGAACTCACTTTTGGGCAATGTTTTTGAAGATACTCAAGCACTTTAAAAGTTGTTGTGAACATGTCAATAAAGTCCTTATATGTATATACTAAGTGCCAATTATTAAGTATGAGGGTGATGTGTATAACATTTAGATTAGATTTTTAGATGTTAAGATTTTGTATTATGGGCTGGGTTGAGAAATTGGACTACGCTATAGAAAAAATTGGGATGGGCTGGATGCAATTTTTTAAACATAATACCTTAAAAATAATAATTTGTTTTTACCTTGCCCTGGGCTTCAGCCCACCATAGCCCTAACATAGATCCTCCCCTGGCGAAGACAATATATAAATGTAGAATGCATAAGAAATACGGGGAATCAGTGAATCACACATTCTGGAAACAGAATACAAAGTATTATTTTAGGATGGAGGTAGCATATGAAAGCTCTATAACAGCTATAATAGTCATCTTCAATGATTTGAATCAGTTTAGCTGGAAAATTGATTTTAACCGTGTTTATTTTGATTACTATGTAATTCAACACACGAAAGATAGATGAATTATCAATTCAGGACTCGAAAGATGAAATATATCGGTATAGGACCCGAATGATGGAAAATTATCAATCTATGACCTAACTTTTATTTATTTAATTTATTATTAATTCAATTGCTAATTTTGTATAAACTTTTCTTTACAAAAGTTTAATAGTTAATAAAACTAGATAATATTTAAAAACTTTAAAATAAAAAAATTAATAAAATTCATGACAAGTCAGGTCCTAGATTGATTATTTTCAATCATTGAGGTCCTAAATTGATTGTTTTCCATCATTCGGGTCCTATATTGATACATTTCATCGTCTTTCAAATTCGGGATTGATAATTCATGGGGGAATTTGACTTTGCGCCTCCTTTTTGGGTGATATTGGACTTTGCACCCCATTTTGAAAAAAATTTAATTTTGCACCTCATTCCACTTAAACTTCATTTGACTTTGCACCCTACTTAGAAATTTTTCTTGACAAAATGGTATGTGTTGGGTGCAAAGTCAAAACTTTTTTATAATGGGGTGAAAAGTCCAATATCACCCAAAAAGTGGGTTGCAGATTCAAATTCTTTCATAATTCATCTATCTTTCGGATCCTGAATTGATAAAATTTCAATTATATACAACCTCTCTAAATTACATGCAACGTATTGATTTTACACCATTCATATGTTACTCCCTCCGTCTCAAAAAGATTGGCCAAATTGACTTTTCTTGGTCAATGGTGATCAACTTTGACCAATGATATCTTTTAATACAAAAATATTTAAAATATGAAAATTATATGAGCTCATTTTTTATGAAAAAATATTTCATAAAAGTATAAA